AAAGTTTGATTCTAAATTGACCTGCGGTCTATGCCACATGCAATATCGTGACAACTAAGCAAAATCGACAGAAATTCAGTCAAAGGACTTCCATGCGAAATATGATCATTATCATGATTGTTTTGTCATCTGTTTGACCATTTGCTTCAACCAAAACACCTTGCGATTTGCATCCCTCGTTCTAAAATAACGTAAGTGATTATATTCTTCAGTTGCTGAGTCTCACCCAAGTGGGCCAACCTGCTGGCTTCTGCAAAGCTCTTCTCCTCTGTAGAATCACCGTCCCTATTGATTGCACACCACTCACCATTCTCCTTCCATGAACATCCACCATCGTCGTACACCTCCTTGATTGGAGGAAAAGGGACATTGTCGCCTTTATAAGTATGAGATTACCAATACCTTTTTCCAGATAGGAACAGTTCGCTTCAATTCATCGATAGCCATTTCAGTCGCGTGAATTGCATCGTTCCGGTGTGGAGAGGCAGTCGCTATTATTACCGAAGCTTCACCAACAGCGACTTCACCAATTCTGCAATTGTAGGTAGCTTACTAAAGAATGAAGTTATCATCCTGCGACAGGATATGACTTATTCTAGGAGCCCAAGCTTAGAACTCCATACTTATAGATGCTAAGTCGCAGAAAATGAGTTAACTCGTGGATATGACACTAATATATGATAAAAATAATCACTCCAATTATGCAATGTGACAGCCAGATCGTAGAGCTTAGTTGCAAAATGTTCAAAACTGCTTAGTTGTGGAACGGCAACCATTCTAAACAGCTTTTTTCAAGTGACTTATAAAGTATATTATAATATATAGTAGGTAGAACATTCTTCATTTAATCACTTAACACGCAATGCATATGAAGTTGATTTAGGAATTATACCTCTCTGCATCCTGCAAAATTTGACCTGTTAAGTTTATTTATTGCCACTCCTTTTTACGTCCCAAACTCTGTGGACATGAGAGATACATATTATAACGAAAGGCAGCCATATCGCATATTGCTTGGGTCCTATTGTTTTAACTTCCTAAGCTGTTTTCCTATATGGTAGGTGGGTCAAAAACGCTGCACCTTCCACGGGTTATATAAACAGTGTGTTCATGCTCGTTATTTAGTGCAAATCTCAAAACTGAGGGACTGACGCTTTACTTGCATGGAAAATATATCTTCAAAAATGACCATCTCAAAACTGAAGTCGTAAATCCTTTGAGTTCACTAGCTCTCGAATGCGAATGAACGTTCATGAAGTCATACATCCTCCATTAATACATGGAATGGTAATAGTTTGGTCAGAAAATTTTGCTGAAAACATAGGTAACATTTTGCTTGTAACTTGTCGATATTGGGCGTAAAGTTGTCAGAAACAAGGGCACTTTCAAATAGATTACATCTTGCTTCAAACAATTTATTTTCCCATATTTTGTCCTGAGATACTAGTAGTCTTATACCTTCGATAGGATACATCGCGAAAGCTTTATAGATGGTCTTTGGCAGAAACGGCACGAAGCTTCAAGTTTTAGATTTCAGAATACTCTTT